TGTCCACGTAGCGAGACCCGCTGAAGTCTTCCTTGAATGCGACACGCCACCACGCCCTGGAGGAACCGCTGGAGGTGTCCGTTAAAGAGCAGAACGCTGGCCAGCTACGTGACCCAAGGTTAGAGGTGTAGACTTTTGAGAAGAGAAGTTGTACTGCTCCATAGTAGTTGTCCATGGAGGTTGGTGATTCTTGGAGGAGAAATAGACGTCACTACTTGTGCTTCAATTCATGTTCCTAGACATCAGCGTTTTTCTTCGTTTTGCTGCCTGCGAGATACAGATGTATATAGTAGTATGTATTAAACTGTAATATTACAACTGGTGTGGAGCTGTGGTCCTATAACATGGTAATAGAAAAAACAAAAATGCATAACATGGTAATAGACATCAAATGACTGGTAGGCGAGAGGTCTGTAGGCGAAACCGTTCCAGGGATCCACATTGTGCGAAGACTGGGTCGCGTTTTCGAACAGCAGAGAGTTGATGGTTCCCGGCTCAAAGGTTGGTCCAGGGTGAAAGTGGATACCCATGAACATGAGTCTTCTGTCCGAATCAGTCGGCTCCGCTCGAAAAAGGGTGAAAGTGGTAACCTTTCTTTTCAGTTCCACCGTCGTGCCATTGCCCTCACTGCTTACTACACTTATTAGAGAGAAATATTAATCAGGATACTAATTACTAGAGGACGTAAAATTATAGGAATATTATCATTATTGGAGGGCACGCGTTGGCTTCCTGACGCAAAGCTAACTAAGACTAAGCCTACGTGCTATATCTATGAGATGTTAACGTTGAAGGACGTCATCCGTTCTTGAGGCTGTCCTAATCTTGAGATGACAGACGATGAGATGAGACATTTAGTGAGGATAGGATAGGATAGGATAGGAGGTGACTCGCCGTCCACAGTGTGGCCACAGTAGTGAGTCTGCGTTGTTCCCCAAGTTCCTATACAGTGTGTCGAAAGACGCTCCTTGATGTAGTCCATCATTCAAGGGCAACGAGGACGATCTGGCTTTTTTGTGTACTCATCCTTAAGGCTGGCAGAGTCCTGGTATGGGGGCTAGCGTCCAGATCTGAGCTTGCAATCCCGGGTACACTCACTGGGTGCGGGAAAACGTTGAAGTCGTCGACTACAATATTAGAAGAAGAGGTACCATCGACAAGGTGAAACAGTTCCTGACAGGATTCCGAGGTGAAGCAGTTCCTGACAAGATTCCGAGGAATGGCGTGAGGATGTCACCATCGTATAATTCACCTACTTGTAAGAACGGGTTCTTCAATGTAGTAACGTATGTCCTAGATGTCTTTACAACAGGCGGAAACAACAAAACAGGATTTCTTCGGAATGAAAGGAGTAGATGGTTCTCCGAGGTGAGACAGTTCCTGACAAGACTGCCTCTTTGGTTGATAAAATCAAGAAGAATTCAAGAAAGTGAATACTTCGCTTCCACGATCAGACTTATGGGAGGCAGTAAGGACTAAGGACTAAGGACTAAGTACCCTATTGGAAGAAGAAGGACTTCTGAAGTAGCAGCTTTCCCTCAAGATCACAAAGATTCATTTCTTTACGCTTGTCGTGTTGCCACCGTTCATTAAAAACTTCTTTACCTGACATGATATTCAATGATAAGTAGGTTAGGATCGGTTATGGATCGTGTACATCGAGCACCGCCGAAAATAGAACGGTGGACACCACAGCAACAACACGATGTCGCGTCTGTGTTGCTGTCGCAGCTCAACGTAGCCACCTCCTAAGAGGCAGTATAATTACTTACATAGAAGTTACTTATATGGACACCTCAGAGACGTTATTACATAGACAGAGGCAAGCTATGGACGTCTTGTCATGTCAGAACAGAGAGGGCCTTAACATATCTGGCACTGCCGATAGCGTTCGAACCGACAGAAAACGCCGTGGCGGCCCAAATGACAAAAAACGCCACGTACTGTGGGCCTCCTGCAAAAGTGACACGCCACCAGGCTACTGTCACGGACGACCCCCCGAAATGGCTCGCTGGCTGGATAATGAGCCATTAGAAGATTGATTGATGGGCATGCCTAGTGGTAGTGCTTGATTGATGGGCATCAAGGAGATCAAGTACTAGATTAATATGCACATTGTTCTAGAACTGGATCTAGGCAGATGAGGTACGACGGTTCTAGTAAGGAGATCAAAGCAACAAGCCTTCTCACACTACATATAACATACCCTGAAGAAGGTCAGCATGAGTTTCAGAGAAGATCAAGGAGTTCCCATACCCTTACAGCTTAAACTACAGCTTAAACTACAATCAAGCAGGAGCACACTCCAGTCTTCTACAATCAAGGAGGGCACTCAATAGTAAGCAGCTTAGGCCCATCAGATACACTAAGCCCCCTCACTGCGATCACGAAGCTTCTACCAACTCCAACCACTTCCAACTTAGTTCTGATAAAGTGCTTAGTGTCGGCGTCTCTTTTGATTTGAAGTTAGTGGCGTTACCAATACGATTGCGCCCGACCACACAAAGCCAATGTTTATCTGTTGTGGCAACAGGCCTTAAGCCCAGTGTTTCTCTGTGGCAGTGGCATCGTTATGGTCCCGACTTGCCGTCGCCAGGTCCGATCGATATAAAAGCGGTTTCCTTGCCTCCGTATGTGCAAGTATCGTGCCCGCATTCTCGGGGATGTCTGCCGCTTCATTGGAGGAGCGCAAAACAGAATTCGGAAGTTCTTCGTTCTTATTTTGAGCGCCCCTTAACTTCAGGGTCGCTCAGTAGCAACCCGTTAAGCAGGACCCGCAGAAGGAATAATTATATTTTGAGCCTTAACTTCAGGGTCGCTCAGTAGCAACCGGTTGAGCAGTCCTGGCTGCGCTCCCTCCTCCACAGGAGTGGTTGTTGGAGTCGTTGTTGTCGTCTCCGCCGTCGTGGCGTTCGGGTATAAATGGCTCACCGTCAGCCGCTGTGCTCGACAAGCGGAGGTTAACAGGAACGACTGCTTTCCCGCTAGTCCGAACCTCACATATTGCCGCAGCGCGACCGAGTCCGCATCCGTCGGATGAAACGTGTAGGGATAGCACATTTTATTGCCCCCAGTGTCGAATGTGATCGCGTCGCAGTTTGAATTCAAGGCGCACCAGTTGACACAGGACTCGATGGTGCGCGTGTAAGGCAAATCTTTTGCCGAAATGGGCGGATACAATCCGTAACGGCTCAGAATATGAATGATGTTTTTTCTCCCCTCTAAAGGCAGCACCTTAGAGGAGCTCCCGCCTCAGCCCGCCTCGAATCTTTCCCTTCAGCTACTTATACAGTTGTTTAAGGGGCTGCTTCAACTACACAGATTTAAGGGGGAAAAGCGTAGCCTCGATGGTCCTCTGTTAAATGGGGGATAAAACATCATCCATAGAGAATTGCCGCGTCGTGTTCATACCCAGAACATTCCGGATGGTCATCAAAAAAGGGGTGCAGATGAAGCCCACAGAAGGTGAGGGTCGAAGCGTCCGCGCCATCCGGTGCGAAGCGTTTTAGAGCTTTTTTCCTCCCAATTTAAGATAAATTCTTCATTTGGCGAAGTAGATTGATCAAACCTATTTTTGTAGAGGCTTCACGGAAGCATGATGGCGGAACCATGATAGCAACTTTAGAGGCGTGGCCCTTGCCTTGCTTTATCATGGCCGCGTTCGACCCAAAAAGTAAATCGCAACCTAATGATATGAAGTATGGCCTATAACCTAACTAACGAAGCTCCTTAAGGAGCTAAGCAGACCTGGCATTAAATATTCCCTAAAGTCGTCCTGGTAGGATGGCTCCAAGACATTCTCTCCTAAGGACGATGGCGTAACCTAACCTGACCAACGATAACTAAGAAACCTGGCATGATATTCTCTTCTAATGATCACTCGGATGTGCTCTAAGACAATCCGTTCTAGAACCTCCTTGCTCTGAGGACAATGGCGTAACCAACGATAAGTAAGAAGCCTGGCATGTTGATATTCTCTTCCACTGACCACCCCTGGCCTGGCTCCAAGACATTCTCTTCTAAGGACGATGGCGCCAAGGACCTTGCTGTTCTCTACTTCTAATGATTACTCCAAGTGCCGTAAAAGTGTGAACGACTTGATCACCTTTCCTACAGCAACCTGGGTCCCTGCTGCGTCATCGGCAACGTCCCCGATCTTCGTTGTCGTCAAATCTAAGGCCTGCGTGTCGTTCAGGGTGCCCGCAGTAATGTCACTGGGATGACCCAAAAGGTCATCGTACATGATCCTCGCATTGCTGAGTCGACTCGCTGTGCCACTCTGCTGGCTCCAGATCAACAGTCGACGCACGAAGCGCGTCTGACTTAAAGCTGCGCGCCATTAAAGGTAGTTGAAGCATTTCATTTTTAACTAGCAACGCCAGCAAGGGAAACATCATGCATATATTATAATTCTGCTGTAGAACAAATGAAATGTTTCAACCCGCCTTAACGCCACCAACCTCGCTTCCCGGCACCGGCTGGCTCTGCGGACGTGCAGAGACTAGGGTAAACTCGACTGGCACTGCCATCGTCCGGCATGTAGAGCAGAGGGGTCTCCGCTGACGTGGATCCAGCGGACTGCGAGACCCCACCCCATATTTCTGCGTTCATCACGCCGGAGTGAAAATCTGGCGGCGTTGTAGTCGTAGTGGTCGTAGTAGTCGTAGTAGTCGTAGTGGTCGTAGTGGTCGTAGTGGTCGTAGTAGTCGTAGTCGTCAGTAGCGTCGTTGTTGTGGTGGTCGTAGTAGTCGCAGTAATCAGAGTAGTCGTCGTAGTCGTGGTCGTCGTTGGCGTCCCAACGAGGTAACACTTTTTAGAGCTTGATGCCTAAAAAAAACATCCTCAGATGGAAGCATCGATCCTGGCAGCCTCATTTTGATCGTAAGGAAAAGGGAATCCTTGTGACCAATTTCAGGTTCCCAAAAACCGGAGCCATTCATCCTAAGACGCTATTTCAAAAAGATGAACTATAGCACAAAAGCCGTAAATTCTGGCGTGGTCTCGTCGTCATAATTGAGCAGCATCCACGCAGTGCGTTCACCGCTACAAGCCTCTGCCGCCGCGTCTTTGGGGGTGCTTTCGCCTGTCGCGTCTTTGAGCCACAAGTCTGCATCCCTATGGAGTCTCTGGATGCATGTGAAGTTTGTTCCCTGACTTGGATGTGGCGTTATATCGAGCCGCGTCCGCATCTGTAGTCTGCCAGTGAGATCGTCAATATCTGTTGCGCTCCACGATCCGCTGGCTATGTGAGGAGCCATAAACCAGCGACCTTTCAGCTCGTCCGTCGCGTCTTTCGCTCGTAGACAATACGCACCTTGACCGCAGGAGACGATGCGCCACCTGAGACTTGCTGGTTTTGTTCCTCGCCTTAGAGCTACCGCGCCCACACACAGCATCCCCCACACGCAGCATCCTTGGAGGAATCTGAAAGAGGCCCTTCCACAAAAGTAGAAAAATACCCGAGAATTTTGCTGCTGAGGATGCTGCCGTTGAGGATTCCCTCACACCGAGGATGCCTTAATGACCATTGATCTTCGATGTCAATCGTTGCAGCCTGGCCTTCTGCTACCGAAGCGTCGAGGGACAAGTAGCCACCTCCATACTTAGAAATGCAGCTCACGAGCCATGTCAAGGTATAATGCCACATATGGAGAGGAGCTCACTTTCGCAGGGAAAGAGCGTTCCGTCCTCGTTGAGATTATCACTTATCCTTCCAGTAGAGCCTACCTCACTAACATCAAAATTACTTACTCTCCATAACACGCATAAGATTATGAGACAAGAACAAGTACTAGCCTCTTCATGCCTTAATTCCACTCTTGACCAGAACTTCCGCGCCAACATTGCACCGCATGCGCATCCCCTCGTCATCGTCCGCGTAGTCGTTGTAGTTGGTGCAGACAGAGTTTCCCCATCTATTAGAGCATCCTCCTTAAGTGGTTACTAGAGAAGATTTGATATAGTGACTGCTGGTCTAGTGCCTTGATTGTATGGAAAAGAAAACGGGGGGTGAGATAGCTTCCGGGAGGAGGAAATCACCTTAAATTATCCTGGAAAGTGAAAATGAAAAGGGTAAAAACTACATCATCTTAAATCTATCCAAGATTTGCATCTGTTGGCCACTGTCGAATCCTGCGTCGTCGAGTGTTGCCCACTCCCCCAATTCCCCGAGTGTCACCACTTGCTTCGAAGTGCGCTGATTCGCGTAAACGGTCTCTCCGGTCCAAAAGGCTGAAGAATCTGCGTCGTTTAGGTGCCGTTAGGGCTACCGCGGTCGCATCTTGAATATTGCAAATTCTTGGTACCATACCATCAAATTATTGGTCCCGTGTAGGAAAGGTGCCTCATATGCAGCCAAGTAGTAGTAATCTTAAATCATCATTACTCTTAATCTTATCCTTGGACAGAAGTTCTTCTATTTCCCCTTGAGAAATAGGGCAAGGTTGATGCTGAGGATGCTTCAGCGGTAGCCTTAATATCGCGGCTCGATTCTCATCAGGCGATCCGTGTTCACTCCTGCAGCCCTTTCTTAGAACTGTCCGTAGATCCTCTATCACGTGCGCCCGTGAAAAGTAGTATGAGGGCGAGAGTTTTCCCCAGAAATACTCCCTCATATATTTTCAAGGATGCAGTCAAAGATGAAATATATTACTGAGGGCCTTACTTCTCCATTGCGTTCTCGCTAGAACTTTGGAGCCTATTTCTGATGTAGTGGTTACTAAATGGATGCCACAGAAAAAATAGGTTCTCTTTCGGCGTCTCCGCAATTCCGCCACAGTTAGAAAAATCACTCTAGAGTAAGCAAGAAATTGACTCCCCATGAATATTGCATATTGGTACTTTTCAATTTTCCCGTATAGGAAAGGTGCCTCATATGCAGCCAAGAAAAGTAGGGCAGTCTGCATCTTGTTGCCTCTATTTCCCTCGTGTTCCGTGTTTTAAGGGAACTCAGTAGGGATCAAAACTGTAAATGTCCTTTCATAACAGTGCTTAGGTGCTCGCCAGTCGCTTTGAGGTGCCTTTTTAGAAGAGAAGGATAGGGAGGCCCTATCGAGAGTGAGTGCCCTAACTAGAAACAGAAACGGCGACGACGATGATGATGATGAGGATGATGGTGATGATGATGGGTGTGCCTATGCTAGAGGCGTTCGCAGTCACGCGCTCATCTAGGTTCTGAGCTCCAACATTAATAGATTGTCTATCTAGATCATCACACACTCACACGCAGCAATATTATTATTATTATTATTATTATGTTCGCGCGCGACCCTGCCGCCTCACGCGTGTCGCTTTTAAAATGAACTGAGGTCATTTCGAAAGTGATCTATGAGTGCAATACAATCAGTCAATCAACCGAATCCGCTGACTCCACAGAGTGGGCAACTTTGTTGAAGCAGACTTTCTACAAAGAGACAATCTCGCACAACGTTCAGCGCAGACTAGTAGCAGTAGTAGTAGTTAACCCATTCAGCACGGGGTCCAGTTCAAAATTGAAGGGAAGCAGAGTGGGTCTGTAGCATTCAAGGGATGTTTTGTTGTTGTAGTGCAGTTGCGAAGAAGATGATTGATTGGGAGCCTACATAATATTACTTGTCCAGGCCATAAAATACAATGCTCTTCCCAATTCGGGTTGCTGCCTGTCCAGGGGCTTGATCCTGTGAGCTTCACAAGGCCACTGTTGCTTATGTACATCCACTGCCCATTCAAGTTTCCGCTCATCATTAGAGCTAGTAATAGTAGTAGTTTTTTTACGATTCGGGGGGTAAAAAGTTTACATCCTGAGTCTCAAAGTTCCATCTCGAAATTTTCTTTTCGTTTCTCCTAGGATGAAAACGCTTCTCCTAGGATCATGTCTTCGCCCAGTTAGGGGAAGCCGAGCTACAAGGTAGGAGCCTTAACATGACGTAAACGCACACGTTCATGGGACAAATCTTCTTCACTGTGGTGCCGTTGTGGAATTAGACCACGTGGGACATATCTACTTAAGCCTCATCTTTCAATGGTCTTGGTCATCTCCGTTGCTTCTAAGTACCTCCAAGTACTTCAATAGGCTCCTTCTAAGTACTTCACTGTGGTCCCGTTGTAGAGGCTAGCTGAAGAAGACAATACAGTAACAGATAGAAGATGGCGTTCTTTACTTAGAAGAAGACAAGAGAAGTGACATTACTAGAACAGTTCGTTGTAACCTCCCCATTCCTCTATGTGCTGACTAGGTTAAGTAGTCTTGGATCAACCCTTTACACCGAGGACGCCCTCTCCTCCAGAGTGAAGCTAGGCGCCTAAATATATAATTGAGAATAAAGATACTGTAATATCAATCTTTGTTGACGTCCTCAGTGCTGTAATATCAATCTATCTTCGTTCTTTTCATGACCCCACTTCATGACTTAATTCCCCCTCTGAAAAATTTAAGACTCAAAAATGAAAATGAAGCAAAGCAGCAGTACTTGCACAGAAGATATCTTCTACCCCGTTCTTGAGCTCAGACTAAGGACGAAGAATCCTTGCTAACCGTAGTTGAGTTCTCGAGGAGTATACAGTCACAGCCACTAAACGACACGACAAAACGACAGCAACTATAGCCCATAGCACAGCCTTAAACTAGAGTGTGGAGCCACTGGCTGGCTGGATACCCCGTACGCGGGGTCGGAGTGGTGGTGCTGGTGGTAGTCGGCAGACTCCAGCCTCCGCGGGTGCTGTCGGACCAGCACCCAATGGAGTTCTGATACAGTGTGTGACTATTCGGTGACTGGAATGAGGATGGGGTGGGATCGAAATTCCGATAAATTAACTGTGGTGGCGGTACAGTTGACTTAGAGAAAGGTTTGAAGGCTAAGCAGATTTGAAGGCTAAGCAGATTTGATCTTCACGGTCAAGAAGATGGGGCCAAGCCTTTGCGTGAATGAATCGTGCAGATTCAATCATTCTACCTTGTTGTGGGCCTAGTCGTGTCGAGAATTCCTTAGTCCTGCTTGAAGCCGCTACCTCGTTTATTTTTTCCAGTTGTTTTCATCTCAAGTCTGTCCTTTATGCAGAAGTTGTTCTTTTTGTTCGACTACTATCTGTATGTTGCCAATACATAGGGACTAAGAATATCCGAACAAGCGAGAGAGTAGTTGTAGTTCGAGTATGAAATCTATGTTGAAATCAAAACAATACACTTCCTAGTATCAACATTGCTTGAGATTCTTTAACTTCTAGTTTCCGAACAAACGAGGGCGTTGTAGGCATTTCTTATCAAAACTATCTCTATCTACCTAAATATCCGAACAGAAAAATGGGGACTATACTAAGAATATCGTTCGACTATCCAATCTATGGATCGTTTCACAATGTAGGGCTCATAGTCTCTAGATCGGCTGCCTGAGTTCCGGTCACCGCGGTAAGGCAAACAGTTCGCAGTGCGATATTTTCACCCAAGGAGTAGCGTTAGAGCTACTATCCCTTGCATCCTCCTCGAGCCGCCTAAGTATCCCTTGACCCTTGACCCTTCGTTCTTTCTCCCCTTGAAAAAGCGGAGCCAAGGGCAAAATTGTGTTAAGGGCATGAGTCAGCGATAGCCTTAATAGCGGACCCGCTGATGGGGGTTAAACATCTCACACCGCAACAGGTTTTTGTTCAGCGCGCTAGACTGCACCTCACTTGCTTTACAATTCGCATCGAGCTCGCAAATTTCGATTATCCTTCTGTGATACTTGAAGGCCCGGAAAGCGTTAGGGACAACTGTGTCAGCAATCGCGGTTCCCTGGACGGGGTTACTGGGTGCATTGTACTAGTATGAAGAGCGTTCACGACGCGAGGGTTGACGACTGATGCTCTAGTCGATTCGGGTTGGACCTACGGCGTCCCTGAATGTCTTGCCCTTTAATATGGTACGCAGACCCGCCTATGGTATGCAGGGCCCTTGGTCTTGCCCTCTAACAAGGTAATAAATATGAGAAACTGAAATAACCGAGCATCCATCCCATATAATAAGTTTCTCTTAGATAATAACTTCTTTCAGTTAGCTACTCGCCTATTTTAAGACTTTTCGAATATACGCTTTCAAGTAGGGGAAAAGGGGCACCAGCCTGGATGGTCTGTTAGACGGAATAAAATCCAAAAACAAGATCCATAAGTAAATCTGTTCTACAGCGGCAGAGCGGGCGAATTAGAGGCGTGGTTCTTTTATTGTCTGTGTGTTGGTTCCCCGTTTGTAGTCATGCCTGTTTTGGTTCTCGTCCCTTATTCAGGCGTAGGACCGAGGTTCCTTAAGTGATTTCTCGTCCCTTGTTAAGCTTTTGATCCTTAGATAGTCAAGAATCTTATTTGCATGAGATGAACTAAGCCATAACAAGAAACGGCAAGAACAGGAACAGACAAAGAACATTGTCTTAAGTGAAAGTCAATCCATCCGCATTCAGAGGTTGCAGCCTACATTTTCCCTGGGATCCCCTTCTTAGAGGTTGCGCCTATCTTGTTGTTGTCATTTCCTTAGATATTACCGAGTATTTTCCTGGACGACCTAAGTAGTCTTTTCCACTTGAAAAACGGCTTCATTATGCTAGCTACTAATGGAGGAGGGTGTAATATAAACCAGTGAAGATTCATCTGAACATATTCATTATGCTACTAATGGAGGGTGTAATATAGACCACAGGATGTAACATAGACCAGTGAAGGTTAGGTTAGGTTAGGTGTGGGCCTGCGAGGAAAACTGGCAGACGTGAGCGGCTGCTGAAGAGCCAAGACAATTCTACAGCCTAGAGCTGGTGGCGATGCGCTACGTCCCAGCTCTTAAGCTACGCTAGACCGATCGCCGCCTCTGAAGGACCGCGTACTTCTGTTTTATGAACATATTCTAAAGGATTTGAATTTTCGAACAGTCTCCTTAGTGGTGCTGCATCCCGTGTGAAGGTTCTCCTCTTTTCCACAGCCTGCTTGCAAGCGGAGGTGACAATAATGGCCAGTTTGTCGGGACCGTTGCTGGTTGACACGCTAGCAGTCGGAGATCCTTTGATTAGAAAAGCGAAGCCACGACTTGAAAAAAGTGGGAGTTGTAGAATGTAAAAACTTGATAATTAGAATGTACAAATCTATCGGTAGTTTGACGAGTGTGAAAATCTACTGGTAGTTTGACGAGTGTGAAAATCTACTGGTAGTTTGAATGTGAAAATCTATCGGTAGTTTGACGAGTGTGAAAATCTAGTGGTAGTTTGAGTGTGAAAATCTACTGGTAGTTTGAATGTGAAAATCTATCGGTAGTTTGACGAGTGTGAAAATCTAGTGGTAGTTTGAGTGTGAAAATCTACTGGTAGTTTGAATGTGAAAATCTATCGGTAGTTTGACGAGTGTGAAAATCTAATGGTAGTTTGAGTGTGAAAATCTCCTGGTAGTTTGCTAATAACATGGTACTAGTATGTTGATCCGGCGTAATTGAATCAGTTCGCAGTTATCCTGTTCAACGTGACCTGTCTGTATCCACGCAATGGCTTCACACAGCGGCTCCTCGACGCAGCGACGCAAACATGATAGTAAATTAGAGCGTTGAATATTCAGATTTCTGTATTAGGGTGAAAAAAGAGAGACCAGCTTGTTTGCGCTGACCAACAGCTGATAAGTCACCACCTCTGAAACGCCAGTTGCTAGTTTTCCTAAGCGAAAATGATCATTCAGTAGTAAAGTGTCTATAATGTTGTGGTAAGGTAAGTATGTTAGTAGAAGTTAAGTTAGAAGTAGTATGTTTAGTAAGTAAACTCTGGTACCTAAGTATGATAGTAGTAGAAGTTTCATAAGTAAACTCTGATCATTTAGTAGTATCTATAATTTAAGTAAACTCTGGTAAGTATGGTAGTAGAACTTTCATAAGTAAACTCTGGTAAGTATGGTAGTAGAAGTTTCATAAGTAGACTCTGCTAAGTATGGTAGTAGAAGTTTCATAAGTAAACTCTGGTAATCCGGGACCTTTCCACCGGTTCCAGCCCTTGTGATTTGTGTGCCACCCGTGACGACTGCTCGGTAGAGCACAGGACATTCAACCGGCGCCGTCACCTCAGGTCTGTCGAAGCGGTAGCGGAAGGTTGCATCTACATAGCAACCGCGTTTCTTAGAATTATCAATATGCAACTTTTTGGGATGCATCTACATACCAACCGCGTTTCTTAGAATATATCAATTTGTTGAGACTACTCCCCAGTACTGATTAGAATATATCAATTTGTTGAGACTACTCCCCAGTACTGATTATTGCCTACACAGCAACCGCGTTTCTTAGAGTATAGAAGACTAACGCTCCCCACTGGCACTGATGGCCCCCACCACTTTTCTTCGAAGAGAAACTTCCAGTGGAAGAGAGAGATCAGCTAGGGCCTTAAGTTTAGCATTGAAGTACGCAGGCATGCCTGACGAGGCCGTTACTGCACTACCTTCGTACAACTCCCGTATTTAGAGTCAGCTGCGCTTCCGTGAAAAGAATACAAGGGAAACAAGATATCAAGATGCTGTCCATACGAGGAATGATACAATAAATACAAATTGCAGTAAAATTAGATAGGGAAACAAATACTTTATCTGTATAGGGAAACAAAATCAATACAAGGGAAACAAATCAAAGAGTATCGATCGAGATGCTGTCTGAGAGAGATGGAGAAATCAAGATGCTGCCTGAGAAAGAGATGGAGAAAGAAGAATCGCAGGCCTTAACGTATGATCCACTCTTCGCCAGGCGTCATGTCGTCCTGGCCCCCATTTGGACCCGTGAAAGCATATCCGATTAGACACTATCAAGTAGTTAAAGTTCCCACCTTTACAAAATAATGATAGTAGTGTGCCCAATCTTGGGGTATAGAAGAAATTTTTAGTTAGCATTTGTTCCACGAACAATTATTAAGATGTCAAGTAGCAAACTATCACAGGAAGGGCCATTGGTGGTTTGATCATCAAGATAATGAGGGAAAAACTAACCGGTTACTTTTTCTTTAAGTGTCCCTCCCACCAGAAGCCTACAAGTCGTAGCAGTAGTGGTAGAAGCAAGTTCCTAGCAGAAGCCTACAAGTCATGGTGGTACTCGTAGTAGTAGAAGCAAATTCCCACGCCCTCCAGCACCAGCCTACAAAAGATAACTAGTAGCAAAAGTTGTGCGGATACTAGTTACAATTTCATGCCTAGCAGTTAGGAGTCAAGCTCAAGTAGTTTGCCTTATTAAGCCGTGGGCTCTGTCACAAGGGGTTGACTGATTGATTAATTGATATATTCGAAAAACTGAAATAACCGAGTAACTACTTGAAATAAGCACAGTTAAGCCTGAACAAGGAAGAGTAGCCGTGTCAAACCTACCTACCTCCCTCATTTCAGTCACTTACTCGGTTACTTTAAGTTTTCGACTACCCCCTCACGGGGTAAGTGTCGCATCTTCAATCAAATGCAAGGTTAGCTTCAAACCACAGAGCCCTCATGAGCCTGAGTTGGTAACATGGTGCGTTCGCCTGCTATTAATCAGGTAGACCTTAGACAAAAAAAGAGCTTAGATTTACTTCTCTACCACATCAATATTAAATGACATCGCATCTTTAATTAAGGCAGACCTTAGACAAAAAAAGAGTCTACTTCTGTAGAACAATAGAGGTCACTCCGGTTAGCTTGCCCTAAGCCGTGGGTTTTCTCGCAGGGGGTCATGATCTGAAAGCCGTCGATTTGGTCGAACAGCGTCGTAGTTTTGTAACTCCAGGGATCCCGACACTGAAGCCCGTTTCTGGAGTTTGTGTTGTGGTTCCACGAAAAAGTTTTAGAACTGGCAGAAACGCATCATCCTCCTGAGAAAATTGTCAGTCTCCTAAGATGGATAATGTCCTCAAGGGGCCTTAAAACTTGTACAGTCAGGACCTAAGTTGCACATTTCAGTATTCATTCATTCATCTCCTCAAGGCGCCTTAAAATCTATACAGTCGGGATCTAAGTTGCACAGTTCCAGCGTGCGCATTCTCAGCTTGTACGACTGGAAGGCACCGCTGGGAGTTTCTTCACTCCTTATCGGCTGCATAGACCAGGGCGGAAACCCTCGCGCGTCTACTTTTAGAGAGTAGGATTATAGGATAGGAGTTGGCTGCTTGGAGTGAGGGGGCTACCTCAACTATTGAGAGAGTGGAGCTACCTCCACCTCCAAGCTCAGAAGATAGGTTAGGTTAGGTCCGTTGGAGATCCTTCACATTGAGCCTGGCGATATTCACTGCGATATTCCGAAGGCAATAATATATGGTGACACGACTTCTGCGCCATCCAAGAGGATCCTGCGAAGAAGGAAATATACGTCGCTCTGATCAATCTTCTACTTCTCCCCCCACTCCTGTTGAGCACCAAGTATTATTGAATTCCCAATAAGAGTTGCGACCCCCTGACAACTGCGCAGTTCTGGAATACCTAATGCAACTAGTGGCTCTTCAGAGTTGCAAAAGGGCTACCTTCCTCCCTCCCCAAAAGAGTTGCAAAAGATGGGCCCGTCCGCCCCTAAAAGCCTATGATGAGGGGTTCCCACCGCTAAAAGCCGAAAAGCTCCTTGCCCCTAAAAGGGGTTCCCACCCCTAAAAGCCTAAGGCCAGAAGCCAAGGATGGGACCCTCCTGAGGATGCATAATGAAAAGAATGCTTCACCTTCCGTAATGCTTCACTTTCAACGGAGGTGAGTTCAAAAGGAGCAGGTTATCAGTATAATTTGCAAGCCTTGTACTAAAGTTTAGTATAAGGATAGGATAGGATAGAATAATAATAATAATTGCGAGCTTCATTACTAACCCTATTCTTGAAGTGATATAAAAGAAACTCAGTCGCTGTCCACTCCACAGGATAACCATTAAGCCTAAACTATTACTGTAATGCGTTGAGACGCCATTGCTGTCATACGTTGATACTTACCTCTGCTCACGATACATAGTATTAGTTGTACAGTTGTACTAGATTATGAGACTATTCGAACTAGATTATTAGACTCAGAGGACTCAGATATTAGTATTCGTACAGAAGTTTTTGTACTTAGATAGTAACTAACAGTTCAGAGTATTAGTATTCGTACAGAAGTTTTTGTACTTAGATAGTAACTAACTGTTCAGAGTATTAGTACAAAAATGTTCACGACAGTATTAGCACAGATGAAGAGTTACATAGTCTTAGTTGTATATAAGTGTTACATAGTATTAGTCGCGCCCTAATGTTTGGCCAGAAGTTGCGAGTTCTCCGTCTGCTGTGGCCGGAAAGAGACGGCAACGCCCTTTGGATCTGGCATCTGGAACTTTATTCAAAGCCACCAGCCGAAACGGAATCAGGAGCTTGTTGCGGCAGGTGCCCTCTGTTTAGAGGTATCCTCCGCAATTTGAGGTTAGGTTAGGTTGTGATAGAAGCTCATAATAAACTACTTTGAATCTTCCTTTATTTAAAAAGGCTTTGAATCTTTTAAATGAACTTTGAATCTGTTAAATGCAAAATCTATTAAATATGTAGAAAGATGACCTTCTACTGCACGAGAATACTCGCGCATCCTGAAGATGAATCATCTATGGCAGATGATGTTATTACTCGCTGATATGCAATATGAGGATACTATTTAGGAGCATGCGTAAATTGGAGGTAGGTTTTTGGTGTTCGTTTCTCCCGTTTGTTCTGGCTGTCCAGCTTAGCAGAACCATAACAAGGGGTAACAAAAGCACCTTTAACCTACCCCTAAGTAAAAAGAAGATGAAGAATTATCTATGTTGGCCTTAATCTGTACTCGCCTCAGAAGTCACCTGTAGGTCCAGCACATCCGTCGTACTGCTGGGAGTGGTGCCTGCTACAAGAGGGCCACTAAGATCCGTATGCAGTTCGCAGTTGTCTCGAATTAGATGTCGCAAGTCTCTGGTAGCTCTAGTAGCTGCTCTGTTGATATAATATTAACGTGGTGGCATAGCGTGTGAGAGATGTCGTTGCCTGAAGAGAAAACTGAGAGATATAGTTGTCTCCCTTTACTATATAGGAGTAGGGTCCTAACTATAGTTGTCTTCCTTTTCTTTCGCAAGAAACTGCTAAAGGTTATAGGATCATGATTCCTTTAGACTAGTCGCAAGTAAGTGGTTACTTGCGACTAGAATTCGAGAATCATGATTCCTTTAGACTAGTCGCAAGTAAGTGGTTACTTGCGACTAGAATTCGAGAATCATGATTCCTTTAGACTAGTCGCAAG